ATATTGTGAAACTATTCGTTCAAATTTAGACGAAAGTTCTTATTTAGTATTTTCATATAAAAATGCCCTGACAAGTATATGTGTGACCAGATTTTTCGAAATGTATGGCGCAAATACATTACATTTTTCAGATCAACCCCGTCTTCTCATTGTTCTATCGAAATAATAATATGAACACAATTCGAAACCTAATCACTCTGGATAATAAGTCAATATTACCAGGGTAGGTTTAAGGTAAGAACAAACTGTTTTTGAACATACAAAGGGGGTTTGAATTGTCGTATTGCTAAGGCTTCAATAAGCCTTAGTAAACACCATTTTACACTTTTATACAACACCATCATAAATGTTCTTAACAAGTATATATGTGATCAGATTGTTCGAAATGTATTGTGCTAATATATCACATAGTTCTGATAATCTTCGTCTTCTAATTAGATAATATTAGTTAACTAAAAACGAGTGAACGTTTTGCATTATTTATGACTTAATCATCCATTATTCATTTACTGTTGTAAAGCTTTTGATAATGTATCATCTCATAACAACTATTGAATTAAATATTCACTATTCTTTTTTACGGTAATCTATAAGAATTTTTAAAACTGTATAAATATACATAAATAAATAATATATTTGTAATATCCCAATGAGTAGAAAATTAGATTTTCTGACGTTTCGTGACTTAGTGTAAGTCACTTCTTCAGACAATAAATAACCAAATTAAAATTAATCCAAGTTTAAATCGTACAACGGAAAAACGGAACATGACATTGATTTGTTCAGACCTGTTTTTGGATTGATCACATAATATTCTTATTGTTCCGTCGTACTATTTAAACTTGTATTAATTTTAATTTGGTTATTTATTTATACTCTGAAGAAGTGACTTGCACTTAGTCACGAAACGTCAGAAAATCTAATTTTTCTACTCATTGGGATATTACAAATATATTATTTATTTATAACAATCTACCCAATGCTCAATTTATTCGAAATTATCAAATCAAACCTTGGTAATGATACCTATCTAAATATACATTTTCTATTTATTGTAGAAATAATCCTAAAACATCATGTCAAAACGTTGGTTAGGAATATTCACTCATTTTTCTTCTAATTCTTATTTGTTCAATTTTAAAAAGTGAGTTATTTCTATTTTTAACCAAATAGCTTGATGAATTGGTGATTAAAAAATAATTTAATTCAATCATAGAATTTTGAGTAGAATGAAAAATTGAACTATGTACATTTCGGTTTATTTCAATCACAATTTATTGATCATTGAGAATGGAACAATTCCAAGTTTTGTCTACTGTTTTTAATACTGACCAAATTTCATCGAATTACAGTGTAACTAATTTAATTGATTAACGAATCAAACAACTCAGTCATAACATTTAAGACTGTGAAATTGAGTGATCCAAATTTGAATCAGATTAACAGTTTAACTTACCTCATGTTAACAAGTGCATTTTGTTAATGAGTGCTAGTTAGCACAAAATCTAGGTTTGGGATTTCCTGTTGGATACATTCAACCAGTTAATAGGAAACTTATTTCGTCGAAATTTTGAAAATTTTGGGTTTGAGGTACTTAACAGTTGTACATTATTGATTTCATTATGTATGACTAAAATCTGTGACCGTTGCTGCTACTTTAACGAGGTTGTCGAGATTGCCTATCAAAACAAACCAATCGAGCTATACTGCCTGAAACATTCATTTCCCAAGGTTCTACTATGGCAGACAGGTCAGTTGAGGAGCGGTGGAACTAAAAACAGCAATCCCAAGGTTCGAGGGCATAAGCCGTACAGCTGACTGTACAAAGTTGTGATGGAAGTAAGGTGTTTCCGTCAGATAACCACCATAGCAGCGATGCTGCCTTCCCACAAGTGGGGGCCGGGGATGAATAGACGGACTCTAAAAATACACACCTTGCCTTATCCCACGGATATCCGTATCTAGTGGTAAAGTCTCAACAAGTACGTAGTCAACACGAAATTTTCTCACAAAAAGGTCACATGTGTCCGAACTCAAACAGTTATTCCTCGGCACTGCGGTCACGCTCTCAGATCACTTAGACCACCCATAAAGTAATTTCCTTTTCAGGCTCTTGTAGAAGAACCCTTCCATGGAGAGGGTGACAGGGAAGTGATAACCGCTCTCATAACTCTAACACCACTCAAGACCACTTCATTCATAATCAATCTCCCTCTTCAATTCCTATTATTCCTCCGACCTCTAGTTTCAACAACAAACTTCCTCTTTTGACATTCTCCTCAAGAGTCACCATGGCCAGTGATTATTGTGCGCGAACCACTCCCAGGTCTACTGAAACCCCGCTCCAAACTACACATTGGATCCTTCAATATGCTCACCCTATATCGAATTGGCCGGCAGGTCTCCTTGACTAAAACCCTAGAATCTCGTACGACTGATATATACTGTGTCTCCGTAACACACATATAGAGAATCCTAATGTGGCCACTCACTTGACCTCATCTCTCCAAAACGGAAATTCGATGAGTTACACACTCCGTGTTTCTGATGACCGATGGGTAATTGTCGTGTACTGACAGATGTAGGCATAGCAATGAGTACGAGGGCAGAACAAGCACTATTGGAATGAATTCCCGTTAACAGACGCCTATGTGGTAAACGGCTAAACTGCTCGTTAGGAACTCAGAAAGATAGGGAGACACGTCGTTGCCTGTTAGTCGTTTCTGCCTATGCTCATGCTGACTGTAGAGTGGATGAAGTGAAAGATGACTTTTACAGAAAGCTTTCTGAGTTTCTTCACAAAGCTAAACACTCAGGCATAGTGGTCATAACGTGTGACCTTAATGCCCAGATAGGTAGTTTAAACCGAACACAAAGACATTTAGGTATGTATTTTGGTATTCCGGTTCAGTGAACAATCAATGGTGCCAGTCTGCTGCAAGTGTGCTCAGACAATCGTTTATTTCTGAAAATCACCAATTTTAGGCAATGAGAAGAGATATTGTTTAACATGGAGACCCCCTGCATCAAACCGACGATGGACTCAAGTGGACCATATTGCAATCAGTCATCGTTGGAGAGGGTCGATAGAAGACTGTCGCTCGTTCTGGATACATGTCTAGATTCTGACTATGCTCTAATACGAGCACACGTTCGGTGGCACCTCTCTGGACACAGGTAAACAACATTAAGAAATCTCATTAGAGTCGAACTCATTGACGAGGAAGGGAAAGATAGATTCCAGGAACAACTGAGGTCACACTTAGGTAGTTCTAAAAACGAAGCTGACACAGATGTTGCTTGGAAAGATGTACGAACAGCTGTGGAAACAGCAGCGATATCTATCAGTGACATGAACTGAAGGGTCACGAGAAACCAGTGGATTTCTACTAAGTCTCTTGCACTGGTAAACTCTCATACAGAGAATTATTACAAACATTTTCCACCATTGCTTAATAATTAAATGTTTTGTATTGTTGTTACGTTTGAACACGTTTTAATACAGGATGACGGTGTTTCAGGTTTGATATCATAAATAAATGCTCAACAGTTTGCGAGTGTGAGTAATGATGAGCAAAGAAAGTGAAATAGATGGGAATTTCAGCAACTGTATTTAACACCAGACAGCGTTTTATACTAATAAAAGAAACTGGAATTAATAGGTCAAGTGTGAGGTGATCTTGGAAAAAGACGACACTATTTTCTGTTCTCAATCCAGATGTTTAGAATGATAGGCGGAACACTTTAAGGCGTAGTTCATCTGGCCTTCAGCCATTCTACAACTACCCACCGTTCCCAAACAGCCTGAATGAAACATTAAAGTAGGTCCGTCAACTCTAATTGAAGATCAAAAAGCTACAGATAAGATTATCTGAAACGAGGAAGAGCAGCTGGTCCAGATGGATTTTTTTAGAGGTCTCTATGTATGTTGGTTCAGTTTTAGCGATAAAGTTGACCAATATTTTATCTAGAATCTGGTGACTAGATGCAATACCATATGACTAGTCACAATCACTGATTGTCCCAATATATAAAAATGGGTTAAAATCATCCTGTGATAACCATAGACGGATTAGTTTGACCAATATAGCTTTTAAAATACTAGCTTCAATAATTATCGGACGCCAAACAGAGACTCTTGAACTGATAACACGAGAAATTCAGGCTGGATCCAGAAATTGTCGTGGCTCCATCGAAGATTTTAAAACGTGGTCATGTTTGTCGGCGTCCGACAATGATAATTTTTCTTGACATAAAACTGGTATTTGACTCTGTTAACTGAGAGGTTCTGTGGCAGTGTCTGTCCTTGAAAGGTGTACCTCAGAAGTACATAAACCTAGTGAGGGCTCTTTACTCGAACACTACTAGTCGAATCAGAGCTTATGGCGAACTGTCATCTGATTTTGTTACGTATGCTTAACCACCGTTTACTACGATGAGCAATGCTAACTACTGTTGGAGACACACACATCTATCGTAAATGGTTGCTTAAGCATCTTAGTATACTTTATGTAAATTTTGATTCACTCACTATAGTATATGAGATTCTACATTCTAAGGGGCATAAATAATCGATCACCCAAAACTTAGAGGATATGAATATGTTTAATTGAATCGGATCCGTACTACAAAACCTAATGTTAATCGCACAAAATCATGCACTTGAAAAAAGTAAAAGGTCTTACATGTACGTTCGACACGTATTAAGTGTTAAACTTAAATTTACTAAAGTTATATTAATTTGTAGTTTAATAATAACAATATACAATAAATTAACATAAATTAATCTATAGGCTTAAATACAGGATAAGTAGAATAATTGTATTGAAAAACTAATTTATATGTTTATTGACTCATTAAAATTGCACTTAGACAAATTCCATCGAAATCGATAATGCAAACAATACCATTTTCAGTCGTCACAACAAAAACACCATATATATATATATATATATATATATATATATATATATATATATATATATATATATATATATCATGTTACACCCTTTTTTAAATTTTATTCATATTATGAATCAAACACGTTATTTCAGGAAAGATGTAAGTGATAATGAAGTCATTTATTGGTAAAGTAATTTAAAAGAATTGATAGTAATTTTAGGGTTCTAGTGGGAATCCATGACCAGTGGAACTAATCCATGTCGAGTGTGAGTCAGTCATCTATTGAAGATTATGTGAGATGATGATGCAATATGGTGGATTGATTAAAGTTAAACATGAGAAAACTGTTGGATACCGACATAGTGGTTTAGAGTTTAAATATTCACACATGAGATGGAATGATTTGTGTTGTATTACAGAGTTCGATTTCATGAGTGTTCGGTGTTGAGGGTGGCATATTAAAACGAAACTGTCTCCGAGTGCTTCCAGGTTATCAATGGTATTGCGACATTGATCGGCTCATGATTTCAATCGATCAATTTCATTTTAATACTTTTTAACTACTGTTACAATTTCATTTCACTGTGTGATTTATTAATCACTGATAAAATGCCTATTTCTATGCATAATTAGATAGATAAAACACTATGTTAAGTGTTTAACAAATACTATATCTCTATATTTTAATGGGGTTGTTACAACCCACTGATAGTGAATAACTAATAACACATTAATTAATTCTTGTGTTTGGTACTTTTCCAATATAGTAATTTTCTTCCCGATAAATAAACATACTTATTACGATTTGAATAACTAAATTTAACAAGAAAACCATGTAATTTAATGTGATTTAATAATGGACAGTAGATAGATTCTAGGACTTACAACCACTCTTTAACTTGGCTCCACAAATTGTTTGAAGTACTATCTTGAGTAATTCCTATTATTTAAAACTAACTTTATTTAGGATGTAGTGTTTAAAAAATGTAGTAACATAATTTTTGTGATGTAAATAAGGTTAACTGTTTCAATGCTTTATATTTGTCATTGACCTCTGGTGGTAATTACGAGTGAATAATCTATGTTTATCATGGCTTGATAAGAATGGTTTTTGCACTTGATGTAAGAAAAGGTGGGTACCTTAGAGTAGTGTTGTTGGTTTACTACGTTATTTCACAGATTCATAACAAACTATTTGATTGAAAAAGCAAGTCTTTATATCTTCACTAGATAATTTCTAGCACCAAAACATTTTTGATAATGCTTCAATAATACTTCTTAATATCAAGCTATATCTCTTCGAGAAATTTTATCATATTTCCTAAAGTGTGGATAGATCTGACAGATATTTGTAGTTAGAAGACACTCTGTAAAGCCGAATCATGGCTTTGTCTTAAACGTTTTTTGTAGACTCTGATACACTATATTGATTTTTATCATTCGATTCATCATAGGTATTGTGATTTAATTTGTAATCCACTACAACGAAATGTGTTTCGGATATTCGTGCTCACCAGTATCCGAACTTTATAATTATTATCACATATCTGCTATTACAGTAAAATGTTCATTAGTTAGACTGGCTAAAAGTAAAAGAATTAACTGTTACTGATGATGTAATTACAACTGAAAACAAACTCACGAGGTGTAAGACCAGCAAAATTAAGAAAGAGATAGAGAAATAAAAAATTTTTAAAAATATATGCGTGAAATATGCAGAACTTGGAAACCAAAGAATAGCAAACTGGAAAGGGAAATCTGCCCGGTGCTCTTTCATTTGAGTAGTATTCAAAGTGGGGTTAACCTTTGACGAAAGTTATCATAACATTATTGTAATGTCACTAAATCTCTCAACGATATATACATATATATATTGACTTTGACATCATTTTTTATGTCAATAGATTCAGGAAAGGATGATAAATTTTTACCCGCCTATTACTTGATTACTCGGAATGATTACAGTAGCTCAACAGCAGATGCTTATTTCAGCGAATGACAAGAAATTCAACTGCTAGATTTTGGAACCCTTGGGTTCATCCTTACGTATGATGTACACCGATAATGCTCAATACAATTCAAATGCACTTTAATGATTCTACGAAATTCGACTTCAAGCGGCTTGTAGATTAACATTATTTACTTTTGCATAATAAACTTATTTTATGAACCAATGTAAGTATAGCAGACGGTAGATTGAAAGCCTAGTGGTTGACAGTTGTTTTGAGTTCCATATGTTCTTCAACTGTAGGAATGCGGCCACTGACTTGCCAATCCTCGTCTTTACGCCTGCATCCGATCTTCCTCCTTCATCGATTATGCTATTGACCAGATACGTGAAAGATTCCACATATGTCAGAGCTTTTCCATCATGTGTGACTGGATTTCTGTCCTCTGTGATGTATTTGAGGAACTCCTTTATTCTTTCGTGTATGCTGAGGCCTACTGCTACAGAAGCTGCTGCTACGTTAGCTGTCTTAACCTGCATTTGCTGGTGTGTTTGGAATAGAAAAATTGGATCAACTGTCAAGTCCATTCATCCAGAATCATCCAAGCTGATCATTGTATTCCGTGCTTCAGCTGAAGTGTGTAGATATTCATAATTCAATCAACCACCAGAAGAAAAAGAAAGGGGGAGAGCAGACAGCTTTGTCTGACACCAGTCCTCATTTCCAATGCATCTGTCGGTTGTCCTAGATGCACCACTTCGCAGTGTAGTCTGTCGTGCGAATTCCCGATGATATATACAATGTTCTTGTGTACACCACAGTGTCGAGTAAGGGTCCATAAAATTCTCCTACACACACTGTCAAACGCTTTCTCGTAGTCCAGAGAGCCGAAGTATAGTGACAAACTCCACTCAACTGATTGCTCAACAATCATCCGTAGTGTCGTGATTCGGTATGTACACGATCGATACTTTCGGAATTCACCCTATTGACCTGGAAGTTGAGAGTCTACTAAGTCTTTCATTCACTTCAACAATACTCTGTTGGAAACTCGTCCTTATACCGATAATGGTGTGATGCCTCTGTATTTCTCACACTTTCTGTGATCCCCCTTTGTTGGTATAATAATATGCTTGTTATTCTTCTTTCCAATCTGTCGGTACTTCTTCTTCCTCCCAAGTCTTCTTGATTAGAAAGTGAAGAATGTTTGCAGTTACCCCTGTGTCTGACTTCAGTGCTTTATCTGGCATGTCATCTGATCCTGTTGCTTTCCCATTCTTGATCTCTCTCATGGCCATCCTGATTTCTTCGATCGTTGATGGAGTGACACCTATAAGAAGGTCTGTATGTTCTGCTTCGATGTTCAATAGGTTCAGTAGTGCTGATCTTCTTAAGAGTTCTTCAAATTGCTCTACTCACCTGTCCAATTATTCTTCAATCTCAGTGATTGTCTTGGCTTCTTTGTCTTTTACCGATCTTTTTGGTTTACTATATTTTCCTACATGTTTGTTTGTTGTATCACATATTTTTCCATATTTCCTTCTCTTGAAGTATTTTCCGCTATCGTTGCTAGCTCTTCCACGTACTTCTACTTGTCAGCTCGAATGCTCCTCTTCACTTACTTGTCTGCTTCACTGTATTCAGCTTGTGCCTTCACCTTCTCTGTTCTTGTTCCACTGTTGCTAATTACCGTCTTCTTGTTCTTCCCTTCTTGAATGCTGTCTAGGTTTTCCATGAAGATCCATTCCTCATGACGATGCCTCGTGCAGCCTAGAACCTCCTGACACATTGAAATCAGTGCTTCTTTGATTTCCTTCCAGTTGTCCTCCATAATAGTTTTTCTCTCTTCCTTCAGCAGATCTTTTATGACTTGGAATCTGTTGTTGTGAGTTATCTTGAATTCGATGAGTTTGTCAGTAAATGAATGGGAGACTGTATTGAACCTTTGTAATGCTGTTTCCCCAACCGTTCATTGTTTCTTAAGTTTCAGTTTCATCTTGACCACAACCAGCTAGTGATGTGGCAGTATATCAGCACCTCTCTTCACTGTCATTTTCAAAGAATCTCGACTGTCACAATGAGGCTTCATAATTCTTGTAAATGGAGATCCTTCAATTTCCAGATCACAGTTTAAATGGCTAAATTAATTTTTTCTGGTTAGCGCTTTTTTCCTTAGAGTTGTTTTCTACTAGATGGAGATGCTGACCACCTGACCAGTCCTCCTTCTTTATCCGGGCTTAGGACTAGCAGTAAATTTAGAAGGGCTGCAGGCGAAGTTCTGAACTTTTTGGTGGAGTTTTGTTCTCTGAGCTGGATGGTTTGGTCGTGGAGAGAACAAAACTCCACCAAAATCATCCACCTGAGCTACAAATCTTCTCCACCATCTCGAAGTTCTGAACTATCTAGCCAGTGAATAAGTAGAAAAATGGTCAAAAGCTCCGAATAAAATATCTGATAATTACTTACATAAATCCGTTACATCTCAGCGTGCAATTACCAGCTCCACGTGTTGTTCAGTCTATTTCCTTCCTTTTTAACTTGAATATTTCAGGTTAGAGATTGCTTTGTAATACAGTCTGATGGGTGCAATAAAGTGTTTTTAATCCATCTCCAACATCATATCGTAATTTTCTCTCAATCTGGAGGCTGTTTCTTATGCTCCCACAGTTCGTCCCACCGGTGGTCTCGCCTTTCAGGTTTCCCATCAGAACGGTCAGCTTTCTCGTTGAACACTTTCCGACGATGAACTCTAGCCTGTCATAAAATTGGTCTTTGTACCCTCCCTCTCTATCATTGATAAGCCTGTTGAACCGGCTGACATTCGTTTCAGTCTCTTTTCCTTCTCTGTTTTGAAGGATACTTTGGTAATCATGAAGTGGTGAAACCCCCACTCCATAAACGATTTTTATATTTTCCCAGACATCTTCACTGCAAGTGCTAGCACGTTTTTCTGTATTTTACTCTTTATTACACGAATTTAACAACGTTTCTCTAGAAACTAAGCTTCTATTCCCTGCCTGTGTCCAACGAGTTTCGCCTACTTGAAAGACGATCAGGTTGTATTTTCTTATTCCTGAAGCTACTCACTTGATTTCTCACTTTGTCCAGACATTTCATGTAACTATGTTGGTTGTTATTCTTGTTGTCAAGATAAGCCTCAGCATTGCTACTTCCCAAGAATTTATGCTTTTGTCACGAGGCCTTATAAAAGTTCTATATGAAGATCATTCGACTTCGAAGAGAGTTGAAGTGGCTGAAATGATTTTATAAGGTTGGTGTTTTGTTGGTAAAGTTCTTTTCTACGATATGTGGTTGCTAAACACACGTCATATTCTTTTGCTTTATTGAGGCTTCTGACCGTAACATTGGAAAGGTTCAAGACGGGGTAGCAGCATATTAATTCACCATTAAATGCATTACGGTTATCCTCACTAACCAATATAAGACTGAAGATTAAGACTATATTATGCATCAACTATAAAATTCAGGAACTGATTATCAATAATATTAAAAATATGGTTTTATCAAACAAATCCAATTAAATAACTGAGATACACGTTGATGCTTTCCTAATAAAATAATATTTATCTCATAAAATAAAACACGACCTTATAGTAACTACGAACTTTATGATCTTTTGTTTTGTAAAACAATGCATGTATATCAACTTATTACCTGATGAACCAGTTTAATAAGCCTTATCAACATAAATACAAAATGTGTCAATACTAAAATTACTTTTTGATTGAGATTATGAACCGATTGATGTTAGACCACCATTGAAAATGTGGATGCATGGGACTCCTCAGAAGTGCACATCCACTATCCCTCACGTCCGATTCGAACTCAAGGCCTTCGGTCTCGCTCGCAAACGCTTAACATCTAGACCACTGAGCTAGCATCCAACGCTGTTAATGTCTAACCTCAACCAATCCACGAAATTATACAACCATCTTTCATTGTATTGAGGTAGATACCTGTCTCTACCGATATAGATTAGCTAAAATTACTAATAAATTATTTTATCAATCGATTTATTCACCGATGCCTGTAATATGACACATAACATTTAGGTATTCTTTATGTTGGATTGATTATTGTTGTGTTTTTTTTTCAAAAAAGAACAAATACAATCTAATATAATTTATCTTTATTTTTCAATATTTCATCATTTTAGAATTTTCGAAATGTTATTCTCATCATTCATTAATTCACCGTTAAAATGTTTATTCACGATATTATTTTTAATTGGTGCTACTTATGTATGCTATTTATGGAGTGCAAAACTTCATGAAATAAATAATCCAGTATTTGTTATTAATTATGCATCTATTGATAATCCATTCAATGAGGTATATTTGGGTAATTTTTTATTTGTTTGTATTATTTTACCTGTTATTATTATTAATTAAAATTCTATTTTTTGTCCCTGTTCCTTTTTATTGATTTTTGTCTCAGTAATGTAGTTAATATTGTTACTATTATTATTATTATTATTATTATTATTATTATTATTATTATTATTATTATTATTATTATTATTATTTGAATACATCTTATGGATTTGCATAGATTGTAGTTGAATTTTACAGAAATTATTCAGAATATTTAAACATGACATCTTTATACTGGTATCTCTACGAGTATATTGAGTAGATGATTAAAATCAGTTCATTGATTTGTTATGATAATAAGTATAGAATAAATTTTATGAATGATGATTGTAGATTAATCCATAGTTTGAAGGTAAACAAATAGATGATTACCAAATCATTTCACAAATTATTCATTGGATTATTCAAAGAAAAAAACAACAACAGACAATTCATTTTACTATTCGATGTAGTCACTAGTCAATTTACATGTCGAATGTTATAAATTTCTTTCAAATATATTGATATAAAGTTGGACTGTGGCTCTCTATGTACTTAAACATCAATCAATTAAAATGAAACCGCTGACTGAGATTTCGTTACAAGAGAAACCTGTTATCTTTTAATCAGTTCAAGTTTTAGGCATACAAAAAATGAATGTAGACGAATTGATTATTATCAGGATAAATTTTAAAATGTTAATTTAATAGAAAATGAAGTAAGACCTTAAAAGATCTTAATAAAAACAAACAAACAGAAAAGTGTTAATTTTTATGATCCCTAAAAAGAATTCATGTTTTTTTTCTTGGTTACAAGTATGAAAGAATGTGACTCTCCTAAAACTGTATCCAACACAATCACATGATTGTAAAAAAAAACAATTACGAAAGCATTCATTAAAACGTTTAGTGGAGTATGGGTAAAACCATATCACGCCTATAACGATATATGATGTATCGAAATTTACAACCAATGACATACCATAGTATTTGATTAAAATTATCATTTTCATAGACTAAGTAAATGATTGGGATTATTGACGGATAATCGTATACAGTCAGCTTACTATGAAACTTGAGGTCTCATAAAAAGTCTTCGTTATCTCAAGGATTCATCGGTTCACATATAACTACTTATTACTAGATAAAACTAGATATCAAAAGCGGTTATGTGGATATTATAGTGATTTCAGTGGCTGAGATCATGAGTCAGCTGAAGCTAGACCACCATGGAAAACCTAGAAGCACTGCACGCCGTTTCGACCTACTATGTGACTCCTCAGCAATGCGCATCCACGATCCCCCCTCGCGAGATTCGAACTCAGCACCTATCAGTCTCGCGCGAGAACGCCTAACCACTAGACCACTGAGCCGACCGGCATCCAATGGTGTTAATGTATAACTTCAACTAATCCACGAAATTGAGCGACACATCCACCATTTTCTTCAGTGGGTTGATGTCTCACAACAGACACAATTGAACTCCACTAGTCACTGTTTCTCATTAGAACTCCAGGATATACCTCATGAAGCCAGTCACTAGTGAGCACATGTTGATTACTATCAGAAGGAGTTTTGTGGATAATAGAGTAATTTCAATGGTTGAGATCATGAATCATAAAACTAGATGTCTTAACTTTTGAGATCATTAATTCGACAGTTTAAATTTAGCCTTTTATAATCAAATCATAATGTTCTCTTTAAATTGTACGAAACTGTTAATGAATCAATTTAATTATTAACTAGTGATTTTTAACATGAAACAATTGCTTTGATTGTACGTGTTATTCTTAAGTTATCTATAGCATAAAAAATTGATTGTCTTTACAAATACCAAAAAATGTCATTCAGTTTTTAAAGTTAAACGACAGATTAACCTGGAACTATACTTTCAAAAATGAATTATAATCTGAAAATCCATTCACCCTGATTAGTTTGATTTAAAAGATAATAGGATTATAGTGACACAATAATATATCATTTTAATAAACCGTGACGGTGCAGTCAGTCAATTATCATATATAAAGCGTATGACCTACCCGTTACTAAACTGGCTAATATTCTATGTATTTTAAAAAGTATCCCAATCTAACTATCCATTCTTTTTTTAGCATACAAATATTATGATTTTCATATCGAAAAATTTACAGGAATAAGTAATCCTCATATATCCTGATCTCTTGATAAATTTAGATAAAGAAAAAAATGGCAATACCTTGAGTCTTTGTCATTTTTGGATGAGTTTAGTGAATCATATTCGATAAATTATGTTAAGATCATTATAATCATCACATTTTTGTAGTTCTCTTTTTCTTTAGATATGTGATATTATTGAGATGTAAAATGACAAAGTGTGTAACACAAGCTATCAAATTTACAACGACACTTCACTTTTCATGCCAATTGATTGCAGAGTGGTTTACCTATACTATTGTTCTGGTCAGATTTCATAAATCAAGTTACAATGTGACCGACCACTAGTTTGAGTGACCCAATATCATGTGGATCGTGTTTAGATATTAGCTGATGGTTTGAACACAGGTTTCATCCGAGTTGACACTTGACAGCAAAAGGTATTTGCAATCTTGAAGAAATGATATACCTCGTGCAATTTTAGTTCACCCACTGTCATAATCAGAGACATCACTACCTAGCTGTTCCGGTTGCAAATGACCTCCTTTTGGACTGGATTATGTACAATGACTAGTAAATGAGTATTAACCAGTGTGGTGTTTGTCTAATGCTTTATGCTTATCGAATTATATGGATCACGGTAGAAACGTAGGTCCAAGTTTTCCATCCAGTCACTTTGAACTAACAAATTAAACCCTACTTTGGTGGGGTGATCCATCTTCTGAAATCAAACGAACGATCCTGACATTATAAACTTATAGTTGATTCTGATTAAAAATAAGTTTTTCCACATATATATATATATATATTCTGAAATAACTAATCTATGGAGTCGATCCCAATATTTTCTTTGTTTTAAACTCATAAATCAAATAATAACTCCTACTAGGATTTAATGTTTGTACTCAACATCTGGAAAGCCGAACTGTTAACAGTGTAATAATCTTCTTCGTTCTTCATTTGCTTCTTAATGTCTTCTAACCAAAACAAAGAAATGAGATCATCATAAATATGTAGGCACTTGTGTTTAAGACTGATGTAAAGATTGGATAGGCGTAATAATGAATGCACTTCAGTGATGAATAAGCAGTAAAATCTCAGTCGTGTCCGAAACTGCTTGGTTGTAACGGGTTTGCTTGTGAATTTAAGTGAAACATGATTGATTGTCACAGAAACTGACACTTTTCTCAATATCGCAGATGATGAAGAGTTTTAACTAACATAAAACTGAGTTCAATTAAAGTTTTTATTGATAGTTTTCAACTAATTAACAGCAATATGTGACTAAAGATTTTTTCTACAAGTTTAAGTCCTATTAATTTTTTAATGATCCTTTACCATCTGGACACATAGATGATATCGAAGTGACGAATGCATAATAATAAAGATATAGATTTCCAACATGACGCAGAGGTTAAAGTAAATGCTATTGGTAGTTTTAAATTCTATAACCTAAATGGTTTGAATTGCAAAGCTATCGTTGTCATTATGAACAGTATTATTAGCTCTTTTTAAATATTACACAAGAGTTAAGTTAGTCACTTCTAATGACTCTTCTTCTGACTGTATAACTTTTCAGGTTTTGTAGCATGTTTCTGTTGACTGTTTCGTCCAGGTGATTTATAACCATGTAAGTGGTTGACAATTTTTTGAATGACCTTCTGTATGGCTTATTTGTATTCGGCTACTTGAAGAAACACATCAAATTATGCACTGATTTATAAATTTAAACAGTAATTTTCAAAGTGAATAAACGGTTACACATTAAAATAAAATATGAATTTCACACATCCTGTTAAACGTTTCATGATAACAATTCAGTTTGTTCTTTTTTTGAAAAGATAATGAACATATCAGTAAGGAATTATGTCATGTGTGTTTTTATTAAAATACGATGAATTAATAATCGTGCAGACATAGTTTTTTTGAAAAGTTTTTTTAAAAAAAATCAGATGACCTGGCCCTTCTATCTCATACACATAAACAAATGTAGGTGAAGACTGTCATTGTAGCACCAACCTCTATAGCAGTAGGCCTCAACATACACAAGGGATAAAACAAGATGATGAAATACAACACAGAGAACACGAACACAATCACACTTGATGGAGAAGCTCTGGAAGAGGTGGAAACATTCACATATCTGGTCAGTATCGACGATGTACGTGAAAAATCTGATGCAGCCGTAAAGGCGAGGATTAGCAAAGCAAGGATAGAACTCCTACAGCTGAAGAACATATGGAAATAGAAACAACTATCAACTAACGTTAAAGTCAGAAACTTCAATACTAACGTCCAGATAGTTCTATTGTACGGAGCTAAAACGTGATGAACTATTACAACCATTATCAATAAAGTACAGGTATTTGTAAACAATTGTCTACGTAAGATACTCATTGTCCTTTGACGAGATACCATCAGCAACAAGCAACTTTGAGAGAGGACAAACCAGGTTTCAGCTGAAGAGAGAATTAAGAAAAGATTTTGCAAGTTGACAGGACACATATTGAGGAAATTACCTCACTATATCACGAGGTAAGTGCTAACTTGGAATCGCGAAGGAAAGTGTAAGAGAGGAAGACTAAAGAACACACTGTGCCAAAAATTGGATGCAAACATCAAAAGGATGATTAGCACCTGGAAACAACTAAAAAGGATTGTCCAGGGCAGAGTTGGATGAAGAATCCTGGTTGGCGACCTATGCTCCTCCACGAGAGGTAACAGGCGTAAGTAAGTACGTATTTAAGTAAGTTAGAGAAAATCTCATTAGCAATTGTTTAAAATGAATTTGGTAATCTTAAAACTATGGTCATATTCTGAAGTTCAGTGTATTCGATATACGATTTTTATATAGAAAAGCATTTGAATCAACCATCTTTGTAGCACATGTCGAATTACCTCACTTTATTTTTGATTTGTAGTTACGATGTCGCAGATTAAAATATACACAAGGTAAGTTGTTTTCATAGGTATTTTCAAATTATTATCTTAAAAACCCCTTATTTCCAAATGTTTTCACAGTTTTATTAGTTTAACTGTTAAATCTATCTAAGCGTCTGGCCCACCCAATTGAGATACACGTGAAATCGAAATTCACAAATCAGCGAGTTGTCTAAAAAAAGCGATGTTTTATGGAATAATATACATAAATTAGTTACAAACCTTAGTTTGTGAGGTATCTGTGGCGCTTACCGGATCTGTAAGTCTGGAAAAAAGGCTTCTTCCATTAATTACATAAAGAATAATTATAACATACGATAGTGCAAATGACAGCTGTTAGCTGTGTCTAAACTTGGTAACAGTTTAACAACAAGCAAAAGCTGAACCGATAGCAAACAATATGGAAACTGTTGCGTTTAAACAGTGATTGCACAAAATTGCAAATAACTGTTACAAGGATTGAGAGAAAGTAATTTTAATGATAAACACAATAAATGTTATAAGCATATGTAAATATTTTAGAATATTACACGACAAACTTGCGTTACAACATACGCGTAGTTTTTGGGAAAACAACTGTTTACTCAATATTAGTATTAGTATTAGTATAAAACAATATACAAAAGAGTCGATAGGGATTGAACAAGGATAGAGAACGTAAAACAGACGTAACATTAACTTGAATGAACATTAATAAATTGATTGAATACTAATCATTTTGTTCAGTGATTACATACGTGCTTCAGTAATGCGTAGGTAGTTTAAGAAGAAATAGTCATCTCATAAGTTACCTACAGCAATAAAATGTTGACAACGTAGATTACTATCATACTGTATAGATATTAGTAAATGATAATTCCTGATCTTGAAAAATGATCATAATCTACAGATTGGTTTTTATCATAGAACGAATTCATCTGGAATGGTAGTTTATGCAAGTGAACATTGAACAGTGTTTTCTTCTTAGTTGATATGATCAATTCATGTTGAATAAATTTTTCAAATAACAAACATCTAAAATTGAAGTTTAAATTTTCGAAAAAATAAAAGTTTTTTCGATTTCACTTTGTATTTTTTTATATTTCAGTTGGTCACGTGAAAACGCCTAATAAAGCATTATTTTGGCCACAGATACAATATAAATATACATTATCTCAATCAATAGATTTTATTTCACCGAATTCGTCACTGAAAAATTTCATTCCACAACAATATTTGGATCATTTTACACTAAGTATAATGCTACAAAAATAAATAGTTATGCTGTATCAAGTAATAGTTTAAGATATATTATTGATAAGAAAAATCACACTATCAATTATACTACACCAATTATATGGTCTCCATTAGGTTGTTTACCTAGCCTGTCATCGGCTATAATTATTCCTTATCGTAAAAGAGAACAACATTTACGAGTGTTAACAGATCATTTACATGGATTTTTACGACATCAAAGAATACCATATACCATTTTTATTATTGAACAGGTAAGTGGTAAAGACTCAGATACTATATTTTATAGGATCTATCTTTTGAGTTTTGTTTAATACATGAAAGGCGTCCATATTATTTATGTTATCATTGTCAAAGTATTTCAAAGTCTAAACAAGTACTTTTGATGACAAGATTTCAAATAAACCGAATTCTATATGAAAACTAATCCATGGACAAGCTTATGACTTAGGATTATTTGTTTCGAACTTCTAAATGCTAGACATGTCCTTACAAATTGTAGTGTCGGCTGCTATGTTAAGCCCACATAGCTTATTCTAGCTTCTGGACAGGCCAATTTATTCATTCTTCTTGAGTCATACTTTGACCTCGTTAATTATTCGCTTGTTAACTTGAACTGTTTTTACATGATCGTATATGTGTTGATTGCTTATCCCACTCATCATATGTCTGTAGCTTATTTTTGTTCTGACAATAAATATTGATTTACACTCTGTTGAGTTGGCTCACAAGCCTTCTCTAGTTTTCTTCGTTCTTCTTTTCATCTCCCTGATTACCTATTCAAATCACTGAGTACATGAAATATACATAATCAAAATCCATTCTCGAATTTTACTTATTTAATTCTGTTATTCACTAACGCGAGTGAAGTCGATAATATAATATACAGGGATTGGCGATATGTATTGTTTCGATAACAATCATTTACATGATCAACCTGGAGTCAGCAGATTAAGGGCCACTAAAAAAATCTACATATTATACAAAACTAAGTCAACAGTATATTTACACACAATTTATTTGTCGTACAATATTCGAACAAAATAGGAATGGTAAGATCTATAAAATATAGTGAATTCAATGTATTCCATTGCTCACTATTTAACTATAAAAAGGTTAATATTATATAATCATTTATAATCATTAACAAAATGCTCAATCTCATAAATGAATTGTCTTTAATTGGATAGATTATTCTAAATGTAAAAAAATAATTAAGAATAAAACTTTCACAACAGGTTTTTCATCATTATTTAAGGTGACAGTTCTAGAATAATTGAGACAGTATTATGTAAAACGAGAAGGATTTGTTCATGAAAGTGTACATCACTCGTTTATGATTACAATCAGTTAAAAGCAGGAAATAAGTAGCGAAATGCTTATTTCGATTCTTTTATTAAAACAGTTGAAAGTTAACCACTGACTTTTAATACAGAGGTCAGAATTAAACCAACTGATTGCTATGGCCTCCGTGAATTTTAATACAATACATTAATTTCGTCAACGTTATGCTCCGTTTCTTGAAGGTGATATGCTATCTAACTATGAAAACTGTTTTGTCCTTGAAGGGTAAGATTACAGGAATATGTTCAGTAAGACTAGTTGAGCCCTGCTTTTATGTTCATCCGAGGTGTATGCTTTTGTATGAGCATATACGTTATATTCATTTAAAGGTGGCAGATATTCGATACTTGCCTTCTTTCGTTTGCGTTACTGAGTATCATGTTGTGTACAATGAGATCAATTTCTCAGTGGAGAATACGTTTTTTAATTCTGTTCTTAGTCTGATTAATTTTATTCATGATTTGATAGCAGATGAACAAAAACCTATTTCTTTTCGGAGTAAAAAGTTGGAACGTTTAGATCTTAATCTTTCTATATTTAAAATAATCCATTCATTATTGACAATTCATTTGTCAGATTGAAAATTTTGTTAATGATTATAAATAATTAAATAATATTAACCTATATGTAGTTAAATAGAAGGCAATGGAATAAATTGAATTCACTGTATTTTGCAAGTATTGTCGTTCTTACTGAGTGCAAATATATTTCATTCTATAATTCATTTTCTAGATTTTAGTTAAATCACTCAAGTTAAATGAACTTTATTATTTTGTAACGTACGAGCTACTTTGGTTGTTAGACATGAAACTAGTTTTCTTTCAAAAGTTGAGAAAAGTATTCAATCACCAATCGGTTTAGATAATAATAAAATATATCAGTAAGTCTGTTACAAATGATTTATCGACTCAGAAAGCCTATGTCACATTTCCAAAATATACAGGAACTCATTGTTTATCTGATCACAAGTGCCTAGATCAAGTAATTTTCTAAATAGCTTTTCAAAAGCTACATTATAATTCCTTTGTCTGTTAGTTACTAACAATCTTTCAACTAAAGACATACATATTATTGACTTTTCAGACCGGTGAAACGAAATTTAATCGCGGTGCTTTATTAAATGCTGGTTTTCTTGAAGTTTCTAAGTTCAAAGAATATGACTGTTTCATTTTACATGATGTAGATAAACTACCAGAAGATGATCGAATTATTTATACATGTGGACCAAATCCAACACATTTGTCAGCTTCATTAAGTACTTTTAACTACAAGTTAGTTCTATTTTGAATAATTTCTTTTCAATATTCTGTTGTAAGAACATGTGTGAAGTTAAAAAAATACTGATGCATGCGTTTCAGATGGTTGAAGATAATTAGAAATCATTGGTTTTAGGTTGTATTCACTCGAAACTACGTTGATAATTATAGTCAAGTTCGTCTATTCTGACGGCTAAATCGATCTACAATGCCTGGAACACTTGATATTTGACGTTCCGCTATGTCAGATAGGTCATTTGTATAATAGTAAAACTAAAAGCACCAAATAAGGGTTCTGATTAACTTCAGTGATCATTAAACTTTTAGACGTGATGAATTCAAAGTCAAATCAGTTAGAAACGTTGCTACATTGCAAGTTGATGGATGGGATGCAGTTAGACTTATACAAATATTGGATTGTATAAAACTGATTGATCAATCAGGATGTACGCTGCACTCATCTACGCAACCTACAGAATCTACTTTCTGGCACACTGTTAACTGCTGTTCACTATTCACGTTTACAGTTAACTAAATATATTTACTCTTGTTACTCAATTAATCCCTTGTCCACATTTTCATTTCTACCCGACCTGTCGTTTTTAAACAATAAGGCTTTTATTCAGCTCAACGTGATGTAAGGAAGCTCAGAAATATATAATGAATACCATTTGCGTGTTTCCTAGTTAAAGTCAACAGTGGTTGTTTTACAATAAAAGAATAATAAGCTATATTGTTTATTTGGCTGATTTTTAGGACACGATTTATTGATCATTTTCTAGACAAGATGGCATGCGTGTGAAAACTCAGTTGGTCAGTAATCAAACAATCAACATAAAACCGGACAGATATGTGCATCAGTTCAATGTGACAGCAATTTAGCACAGCGAAATAAATTATCAAGACAAGTCTCAGAGTATTAGAAGTAGTAAAAGTATCAATAATAATAGAAAGGACAAATCATATAAAAATGATTTGAGATTTTGGGACTCAGGCTCCAAAGAAAGCCAAGTATAAAAGTTCAAATATGTATATAGTTTATTCTTAAAGGAAGGAATTCATGCCGCTTTCTTAAAGTGTTTAAGCATCTCATATAAAATGATTCGTAAAATTCTTTCTTGTGTAAATCATGTAGTGATACAGATAAATTTAACGACAACCTTTTCAATCAAACCATTTGCTACTGACTTCCATGTTATTTTATCGGTTTATCCTCTCAATAAAGCTATAATTTCAGTTCATTAGCTCTGGTGATATTGCTAAAGCAACATATACTATTGCCATTTAGGTACAATTTATGCTAAAGATATAGTTCTGTTAGACATAAAGAAAGCTGCTTCTTTTTCCTGCACGCACTTTACATTTTCCATTTCTTCACATTCTCACTGTTCTTGTGTAGAACATATGTATTTGGTGCTCCTTTGTATCAATATTTATGTGTTGAAATAAGTAAATAAATAAAATGAATTTGATTGTAAGGATTTGGATGAACATCACGATCCAGTTATATACTGTTGATGGGTTCCAAATGGGATTAAACTCACTTACTGTATTTCACTGTTATTCATGCTCCAAATTTATTAAGACTTCTTTATGTTACCTCACTAAAAAAACTATAATTCTTGGCTGAACAATTGCTTTTAGTTTTGATTTATCTTCATTCATTTGCTTTATATCATTAAACTATGTAATGAGGGTATTCAACAGTCTACCATTCTCCACATCAGTCGAGAAAGAAATCGACCAGCAAGACCGAGAAGTCAATATTTCTCATTATATTCCTCAGTTGAAAGAAATTGACACATAATAAACATGATAACAGTCATTTAAATGTTTATTTAGTGACTACCTTTATAATTTGAAAAACATCTGTATCAGTGTCAGTTTGTAAAACAGATCTGACTTGGCAACTGGATTGATCAGACGGTTGTATTAGTTCTCCAAATGTCAGCTCCGCACAATAGAACTGACATGACGTATGTATTGGAGTGAGACTTCCCTGTTGGCTGACAGTTGTTTGAGTTGCACATGTTCTTTGATTGTAGTGAAGCTATCGATGCTTTGCCGATCTGTGCCCTTACATTAACATCGGATCCTTCTTTTTCATTGATAATGATGCTGACCAGGGACGTGAAAGTTTACACCTCTTTCAGAGCTTCCCCATCAAGTATGATTGGATTAGTGTTCTCACTTTCGTATTTGAGGATCTTGGATTTTCCCTTGTGTATGCTGAGGCCTACTGCTATAGAGGTTGGTGCTACACTGGCAGTTTTCACCTGTAGTTCTTGGTGTGATTGGGATAGAAGAGTCGAGTAATCTGTCAAGTCCAAATCGTCTAGTCTCATCCAAGTTGTCCATTGTATTCCGTGTTTCCCCTGAAATATAAAGGTCTTCGTAGTCCAGTCGACCACAAGAAGATGGAGAAAGGGAGAGCGTAGTTAGTCGTGTTAAAATACAGTCCTCACTTGCAATGCATCAGTCAGCTGTCCTCCATGCACCATCGGCCATTGATTTGCCAATCCTCGTCTTTACGCCTGCATCCGATCTTCCTCCTTCATCGATTATGCTATTGACCAGATACGTGAAAGATTCCACATATGTCAGAGCTTTTCCATCATGTGTGACTGGATTTCTGTCCTCTGTGATGTATTTGAGGAACTCCTTTATTCTTTCGTGTATGCTGAGGCCTACTGCTACAGAAGCTGCTGCTACGTTAGCTGTCTTAACCTGCATTTGCTGGTGTGTTTGGAATAGAAAAATTGGATCAACTGTCAAGTCCATTCATCCAGAATCATCCAAGCTGATCATTGTATTCCGTGCTTCAGCTGAAGTGTGTAGATATTCATAATTCAATCAACCACCAGAAGACAAAGAAAGGGGGAGAGCAGACAGCTTTGTCTGACACCAGTCCTCATTTCCAATGCATCTGTCGGTTGTCCTAGGTGCACCACTTCTCAGTGTAGTCTGTCGTGCGAATTCCCGATGATATATACAATGTTCTTGTGTACACCACAGTGTCGAGTAAGGGTCCATAAAATTCTCCTACACACACTGTCAAACGCTTTCTCGTAGTCCAGAGAGCCGAAGTATAGTGACAAACTCCACTCAACTGATTGCTCAACAATCATCCGTAGTGTCGTGATTCGGTATGTACACGATCGATACTTTCGGAATTCACCCTATTGATCTGGAAGTTGAGAGTCTACTAAGTCTTTCATTCACTTCAACAATACTCTGTTGGAAACTCGTCCTTATACCGATAATGGTGTGATGCCTCTGTATTTCTCACACTTTCTGTGATCCCCCTTTGTTGGTATAATAATATGCTTGTTATTCTTCTTTCCAATCTGTCGGTACTTCTTCTTCCTCCCAAGTCTTCTTGATTAGAAAGTGAAGAATGTTTGCAGTTACCCCTGTGTCTGACTTCAGTGCTTTATCTGGCATGTCATCTGATCCTGTTGCTTTCCCATTCTTGATCTGTCTCATAGCCATCCTGATTTCTTCGATCGTTGATGGAGTGACACCTATAAGAAGGTCTGTATGTTCTGCTTCGATGTTCAATAGGTTCAGTAGTGCTGATCTTCTTAAGAGTTCTTCAAATTGCTCTACTCACCTGTCCAATTATTCTTCAATCTCAGTGATTGTCTTGGCTTCTTTGTCTTTTACCGATCTTTTTGGTTTACTATATTTTCCTATATGTTTGTTTGTTGTATCACATATTTTTCCATATTTCCTTCTCTTGAAGTATTTTCCGCTATCGTTGCTAGCTCTTCTACGTACTTTTACTTGTCAGCTCTAATACTCCTCTTCACTCTCTTGTTTGCTTTTGTGTATGCCCGTGTACTACAGGATCTCTCCTGAATATAATCTATTCTAGCCAGTTTGTGTCCAATAGTTTTCACTTATTGAGAGAATCGTTAAGTTGCATCTTTTCATTTACACAGCTATTTGACCACCACCACCACCCCAGTTTCCTATATTATCCGGACATTGCATTTAACGATGTTAATCGTTACTTTGTTTAGAAGAAAGGTGAACAGCCTTGTGATTTCCAAAGAATTTCGACTTTCACCATGATATGTTATAATTCTTGTAAATGAAAAACCTTCAACTTCCAGGTTAGAGGTTGGATTGTACAAATTGTTTTCTTTGGTTAGAAATGTATTGGTATGGTTGTTTTCTACAGGGTAGAGTTGCTGATCACAAGATTAATTCTCCTTGCTTATCTGTGCTTAGAATTAATCATAACCCTAGATGAGCTACAAGAGGAGGTTTATACAACAATTTAAAGATGTATGTTAATTTCACTGTTAAAATGCATAAAATCTAACTCATAAAATGTAAATTTACTATTTTTATTTTAAGTTTACATTTTTATGAGTTATGAATTATTTATTTTTATATTTACAGATTAATTTATCAAAGATTTTTTGGTGGTGTTGTTACATTCACTCGTGATCAATATCTTAAAATTAATGGTTTTTCAAATTTATATGAAGGATGGGGTGGTGAAGATGATGATCTTTTATTACGTGTTGAACAATCTGGTTATAATTTAAGTCGAATCAATTTATTGATTGGTCGTTATTATGCAATGAGTCATAAGACAGATGAATTAAATGAACAGAATCCAGATCGGTGTGTTGTTAATAAATTTTATTTTTGGGTATATATATATATATATATATATATATATATATATATATATATATATATATATATATATATATATATATATATATATATATATATATACAATCGATTTTTTTGTTGTTGCTGACAGTGTCATGTTCTCTGAGTCATATAGTTAAAATAGGCATAATATTCTTCATACAAAATAATAATTGTGTGATAGTTGAAATCGTAAGAAAACATCGAATTTAATAAATTGGATTTATCAAGATCATGGATATTCATTAGACGCTCTACTAACCAGCATTCATCAACAAGATTAATCATAACCAATTGTTTGATATTATCATTAATTTATTGTCAGAGATAATTGTTTTTAGCTTAAAGTTTTTGAGATTAGCCTTTTATCTAGATTTCATAGAACCATTATATTCAATCTGATAGAGTTTCAAACATGGTGAATGAATTCTTTTAGGTTAAACAAGCATTGATTACTGAAGACAATATGTAACTGATATGATTTTTAATCAATCACAGTAACGCAGATACAATCCTTGCTTTTCTTCTCCTAAATGCTGCCTAGTTTCTTACTCGATGCAAGTCCTCATCTGTTGAGTTGGATAGTTAATGTTTATCTGGTAATATTATTATGGTTCATTGGATTACAATTTAACTTCATTGTGTTTGTTTCCTAGCTGCATCCGTTTTTGCTATGATTACGTATTAAATTACCTAAGGTATGTACATTATTCGACATCTTCCGTTTGAATTAGTCCTACCTGGCATTAACCTATTTATTTTGAAACAGAGAAATACCTGTCAATGCATGTAAAATGGGAGACTAGAATGTTGTAGAGCTTAGTTTTAGAAGTAAAGTCAACTAATATTTTGTTATATGATAAATTGAGTAGCATGATTCTAGGATTATTTGTTTTCTTTTAACTTATTGATGCATTTTTGGTTAACTATTCGAAATCCACTGGTTATACATGCAAAAATCATTAATTTTGTGCAAGTTGACTAAATGAATCGAAAAACTTGTTTAAGTTATGAAATTAAAAATAGAAGTGACTTTTTCTCTTTCAGTTCAATAATAAGATTTCTCTGGTAAGAGGTAATAACGCAATTATATATTTTAAATGAAGATTGAATACTTTTCAGGAATTAATTATCATATATTAAAGAGAGTAAGAACAAAGGTTGGTGCAGAATAATATGAATTCATTTTATTTCGTTAGGTTCTCATCAGCTGCTTACAACCTAAAATATTTGAAATTCAACGTTATTATAGATATTGACATACTTATACAACAGAGGGCGATGAAGGATGAATATATGTAACATAATGTGGCAAAGATTTCGTTAGAGTTAATGAGGTCATAAAATTTTGTTTCGAATATATAGAGTTTGGGAGGGAAGGTTCCAGAAAATTGAAATAGTGATTAGAAATCATGGAATTAAAACACATTAGACGATTATGTAATGAAGTAACTGAAAATAGATTAATGTTAATAAAGAGAGATATGAATTGAAATTGGTCAGTTATGAATGATGTAATTATAAAATTCAGAAAGAGTTGAAATGACGTAATAAAAATAGTTAAAATAAAAGGGGTGGGGTGAATGTTACCAGGGCAAAGAAAGATTTATTACTGTTTCTTTTTGTATACAAAGATCTGGTTTTAAACGTTTGATTGCTATTGCTTCCGCGAATTTCAAAAGGTTTGAATTTGATTGTTTGTTGATCACCTTGAAGGACTTCAGTATATCGACTTCGTGTCCTGTGTCAAGGAGATGTCTTGCGACAGCGCTGCTAAATGCTTTTAGTCCGTTTGATCTCAAACTGTTCGGAATATGTTCTTTGAATCGGACGTAGGCTCTCCTTTCTGTTCTACCAATGTAACTGCTTTGGCAGATACATGTAAATTTGTATACACAGTTGGTGGTAACATGAAAGGGATACCTGTCGACCTTTGATTGTGTCAAAGAACATGTCGTTTTGGACAGGACAATCAATTTAGCTGCAGGATATGTTTTTGTCAGTGCAGTTTTTAGTCTCATATTGATTGACCCTGTGACATTATCGCCTTTGAACTTGAGTTGAATAAAAACAGGTTTTTTATTTACTGTAGTTTCTTTGGGTATTTTATCTTCACGTTTTCCATATTTCTCAATGAATTTCAATGGGTATCCGTTATTTCTTAAACACTTTTTAACATTCATAATTTCTTCTTCTATTGTATCGGCAGTACATATTCTTTCTGTTCTGTGAAACAGTGTCTTGACAAGTGCCTTTTTATAATTGACTGGACAAAAGCTGTTGAAATTGAGATAACTTCCATTCCATGTGTCTTTCTTATAAACTGAACGTTGAACTGTGCCATCCTTTCTTCGTTTCATCTCTATATCGAGGAAATGGAACATGTTTTCTTTTTCATGTTCCATAGTGAAATTAATATTTGGATGAGCTTCATTGAAAAACTTTAACAAATTTGTTGCATATTGTTGATTATTACATAAGATGAATGTATCATCAACATACCTCGAATAATACATCATTTCATCAATCGCTCCTTTGAGCTTGGTTCTTTCGAGGTTAGCCATGAAAATATCTGCTAGGACGGGGCCTAACGGACTTCCCATTGCTACACCGTCGGTTTGTCTGTATTTGATATTGTTGAACTGGAACTGAACATCTTTTGTACACAAGAGTAGTAGTCGTTTGAATTCTATTGCTGGTAGAGGTAGGATGTCAAAATGCTGACAAATTATGTCTATGGTTTCAAGAAGTGGTATTTTTGTAAACAATGATGTCACATAAAAAGAAACCATAAACTTACCAGCAATATTTATGTGATTCATGCTATCAGCAAATACAAATGAATCCTTCAGTGTATAAGTGGCTAGTCGTTGACGAGGTGGTTCTAATTTATCTGCCAGCCATCTTGCAACTTTGTCATATGGTGAACTGACCATTGACATAATAGATCTAAGAGGATTGTCTTGTCTAGATATTTTCATGGCTAGCCTCGAAAGAACCAAGCTCAAAGGAGCGATTGATGAAATGATGTATTATTCGAGGTATGTTGATGATACATTCATCTTATGTAATAATCAACAATATGCAACAAATTTGTTAAAGTTTTTCAATGAAGCTCATCCAAATATTAATTTCACTATGGAACATGAAAAAGAAAACATGTTCCATTTCCTCGATATAGAGATGAAACGAAGAAAGGATGGCACAGTTCAACGTTCAGTTTATAAGAAAGACACATGGAATGGAAGTTATCTCAATTTCAACAGCTTTTGTCCAGTCAATTATAAAAAGGCACTTGTCAAGACACTGTTTCACAGAACAGAAAGAATATGTACTGCCGATACAATAGAAGAAGAAATTATGAATGTTAAAAAGTGTTTAAGAAATAACGGATACCCATTGAAATTCATTGAGAAATATGGAAAACGTGAAGATAAAATACCCAAAGAAACTACAGTAAATAAAAAACCTGTTTTTATTCAACTCAAGTTCAAAGGCGATAATGTCACAGGGTCAATTAATATGAGACTAAAAACTGCACTGACAAAAACATATCCTGCAGCTAAATTGATTGTCCTGTCCAAAACGACATGTTCTTTGACACAATCAAAGGTCGACAAGTATCCCTTTCATGTTACCACCAACTGTGTATACAAATTTACATGTATCTGCCAAAGCAGTTACATTGGTAGAACAGAAAGGAGAGCCTACGTCCGATTCAAAGAACATATTCCGAACAGTTTGAGATCAAACGGTCTAAAAGCATTTAGCAGCGCTGTCGCAAGACATCTCCTTGACACAGGACACGAAGTCGATATACTGAAGTCCTTCAAGGTGATCAACAAACAATCAAATTCAAACCTTCTGAAATTCGCGGAAGCAATAGCAATCAAACGTTTAAAACCAGATCTTTGTATACAAAAAGAAACAGTAATAAATCTTTCTTTGCCCTGGTAACATTCACCCCACCCCTTTTATTTTAACTATTTTTTATTACGTCATTTCAACTCTTTCTGAATTTTATAATTACATCATTCATAACTGACCAATTTCAATTCATATCTCTCTTTATTAACATTAATCTATTTTCAGTTACTTCATTACATAATCGTCTAATGTGTTTTAATTCCATGATTTCTAATCACTATTTCAATTTTCGGGAACCTTCCCTCCCAAACTCTATATATTCGAAACAAAATTTTATGATCTCATTAAGTCTAACGAAATCTTTGCCACATTACGTTACATATATTCATCCTTCATCGCCCTCTGTTGTATAAGTATGTCAATATTTATAATAACGTCGAAAGTCAAATATTTTAGGTTGTAAGCAGCTGATGAGAACCTAACGAAATAAAATGAATTCATATTATTCTGCACCAACCTTTGTTCTTACTCTCTTTAAAATAATAAAGTGAACTATGTGTATGAAATTAATTATCAATGGTTACCGTAATGACTAAAATTTAAAGATTATGGTTAATTTAGCTCATCAGATTTATTATATATAGTTTTCAACTATTAAAATCTAAACATGGTAACTGAAGTAATCAACTTACTTTTTTTGTTTTTAACAAATGTTCCAACATTGAAATGCATCTAGTTTCAAGTTGTTGAAAACTTCAGAGCGTCGATTTAAAAGTGATGGATTGAACAGCTTGAAGTATAATGTAACTCAGTCGAAATCAATGTACAATGGTCTACTTTATTGGATTTCCATTTATATACATCCTAACAACCAGAATTAATTTGATGTAAAAGTAGGTTGTATCTAAGCTTTCATAAACATGATATTTTTTGTTGTTTGGGAAAATTATTATATCACATTTGAATCTCTGTTAAATTGACAGCCTATTTCTTCATTTAAATTAATATATGAAAATCAAAAAAGAAACATTGGAAAGAAAATCAAATCTTCATATAAAAAATTAAGTGGTTTTAAGCATATGAAAAAATTAGGCATTTATTGATCGAAGTAATAACAAACTGGAGGATAGATTAAAAAAGACAATTGAGTTACTGACTATATTGTTAAATACGTGTTTTTCAGATGGCTTGTGTTTTTTCTAGAAGTAGTGAGAATTGTCATTCTGTATTCTCACAGGAAACTATGAATATTAAAAAGCTAATTTAATTTATTTCTGAAGTTAAAGATCATAGAAATACTTTATAGATAGATAGTTCTTGAGTATCACTAAGAAGTAATGTGTGTTTATTTGACTGTCTGATTTCAAAAAAATTAGTGTGATAAATACATGTTTGC